GAGCTGTGGGACAGTGCTCAAGATACCACTGTTTCCTGACTGGGTGACGTCCTGCGCCCGAACCATTTTTCCAGAGCGGCGTGTCAAATGGGTATGGCGCCCACCAAAGAGCAATTGCAGAGGCCGTTTCACTGGTGTACAGCTCTTCATCAGCCAAGAACGGCTCAGCATTTCCAGGGAGTGTAAATTCATCCTCGTCATTTCCAGCTCCAAAAATATGGTCTTCGTGGCTGACAGTTATATTCTTGGGAGCGACAGAACGGGATGATATCGGATTAATGACTGGGTCAAAATAAAACGCAGGCAGATTGGGGTCTGATTGGACATAAACGATCTGAGGGTAGGAGTACCAAGACAGCTTGACACTTCGTGGTAACGAATTGTATAGGTATGGGAAAGCGACTCGATATTCCGTTCGGATTGGAGCTCTGAAGATGATACGATCGATCGCATTGAATTCTCCGAAATCTTCATCATTTGGGTCGACGTCTTTATATAACGGCTCAAATCGTGGTCCACCAGGAATCGCGACGTTAAGAGCTTTTGCTGTTAAAAAGCTGTTTAGATCGAACATATGGAAATAATTTTTATCGACCACGTCGCTGAGCAATTGGCGGCTCAATCGATATAGCGTTGCCATTTGTGGAAGAGTCAAATTCCACTCCTTGTAGCTTGGGCCATTCACATGGGGGGTATCAAGAAGTGGTCGATGATCGTAAAACCACTCGTATACTGGAGCATCTTCTGATTCGTCAAGTTCCATCTGAATGGGTTCTAAAGGTTCAACATCTTCAATATTTTCCGACCACGACAACGGTGGCTCTTCGTCATCGAAAGGAGGAAAGCGCATTCTTTTGAAATGCCGGCGGTCACTTTTCTCTCGTCGCATCGTCATCCACATGGTAGCCCATTGCGCATGAAAAACAGGCTCTATAACTCGGGGGATCTCGTTGACCAGTGTCAAGCAACCATTTACATGGTAGAGCACTTTGACTTCCCGAGCTGATTCCCAAGGCATCGGCATATTCTCCAGCAACTTAAGGACCGCATGAGGCATGAATTTCAATGCCCCCAAATAGCTCCTTTTGTCGGTACTGAACTTTTTCTGAGACACATCTCCTATATCCTTAACAATCTTCCGGAGATGTTCCGGTGGCAGATCCGCCTTCTGGCTTTCCACAAAGCCGGCTTTTCTCTTCTCCCCGAAACGGTTTCGTTGCGTCCTGAGCCATTCGTTTTTCTTCTGTGCAAACTTCCCGACCAAAGGATCAGCTGGGGGTCGGAATCCGGGTGGTGGGGGAGCGAGAGGCATCGACGGGGGAGCTGCAGCACCCCATCCCGGAGGCGGAGGAGGAGGAAGAGCTGACATTATGAGCGCAAAAGACACCAAATAACAAAATCTGCCTCACATCCAGCTGATGATGATAACGTAGGTGGAAATGAGGATTGTGTCCAGCTTCACCATCGGCAAGCAGATATACCCGTCCAGTAAAGAATACAGATGCGAAGTAACAGTTATCAGAGATTCCACCGCGACAGGGAAGATTAGCAAATCTTCTGCGTGGGCGTGGACAAGACGGGAGTGTTCGTCCCTGACATCGGTAGGAACGCGTTGGAAGAAATCCTTCCGGTGGCGGCTGAAGTAAAATATACACTAATCTATATATGTATTAGCGTCATCTCGCCAAATTTTTAGCGCACATCTCGAATTTGCATGCAACACACACACAAAACCGAATCGCGTGTTGAAACAACGAACAGCGACGACAACGAGAACGCCATCTCCCCGAACCAGAGCTTGACGACAGCAGAGATTCGAGGACAGTCACAATGGCGAATACCAGACTTCAATACGTGAGTAAAACCTGATGTGAAATCACTTATGATGGTTGAGATACTAAATTTACTCTTTCTTCGGTCAGCGACGGCGAAATCCGTACGTACAAATTCTCCTTCCCAAGCGGCTTCGAAATATATCGCCTTAGTGGATATAAGTTTTGACGTAGATGGTGATTCTAACAAATGTGTGTATCAGATACAACACACGGTCAAACAAAGTTCGCATCATTAAGACCCCGGGCGGCAACCTTCGATACCTCCACATCAAGAAGAAGGGAACGGCGCCAAAATGTGGTGACTGCGGTATCAAACTCCCAGGCGTGAGTCTCACCCAACGACTTACAATTTTCTGTTCTCGCGATGTCTGGTATCAATGGTGGAGGAATGAGTGAAGCAGTTTGGACCAACTACTTTTCAATACAACCGTTGAGAACAGAGTCACTGGGAAATTTCGATTCAATTAAGACCAGCACGCTAGAAGCATCACCAGATTACTGATATTGTTTCATTCTTTAAAACATCAGATTCCCGCCCTCCGACCCCGTGAATATTCCCAGATCTCCCGCCCCAAGAAGTCAGTGTCCCGTGCTTATGGCGGTTCCCGCTGCGGTGGTTGTGTCAAAGACCGGATTGTCCGAGCCTTCCTTATCGAGGAACAGAAGATCGTTAAGAAAGTGCTGAAAGAATCACAAGAGAAGGCTGCTTCTTCTTCGATGAAGCGTTAATCTTTTGGAAGTGGGACGTTGCTGTGGATATTGTTCGATTGTTCTGGCGTTCCGAGGGACGAAGATGAGGGAAAACCACGACACACGGAAGGGTCAATCATGGCAGTGATATTTTCTTGTTTCTTTTGTGCCAGCGATATGATCATGCTCCAGTCAATGATGGGTTTGACTTTGCTTGGTTCTGGAATACCCCCAGGTTTCCTACGAGATAGAAGCGCAGGCAAACTTTCAATCCATCACATTTACACTCAAAAATGAATTTAACGTCATTTCTTAATACTTCTATTTTCGATGGCACTAGACATTTCCCTTGGCTATATCACTCTCCAACAATATTCATATTCTTGGCTCACTTTTACCTGGCAGCCTGTTTGGCTCTATTTGCCTTGCATGCCCAGCATATATGCTCCATGACTAGTTAGTCAATGGATTTGGATTACCTAACAACCGCCCAACCACCTTCCTTGCAGAGTATTCATGCATTCTTCGCAGCATCAGAAATGCGCCAAGCCATCCACTATTTCATAGGAGGTGCTAGGACTCAGGTCTTCCATCCCGGCAATCAAGGGAAATCCAGCCCGAAAACATCCAGTTCTGAAAAGGGGTCAGGTTTTGTTTTTGGATTTTCGGACGATAACAACCCCATCCCGTGAGCAATTCTCATACCTAGGTACCGTCACCTGCACCAGGGCTTGGGGAATATTGGTTGATGTTAAATGTCGAACATCCATTGGGGAACTACAGTTACAATGAAAGTTAATTTGATTCTGTGAGGCGAGGTGTCTACAGTGCAGAACTCTCTCAGGGTCAACCTCACAAGCCCGACGGAAGCGGGTACCCTTGTCGAACCTAACATATTTATGCATCCCCGGCAGAGTAGTTAAGGATGAATCATGAGTCACCATAGCAGCCCCTTTCATATGCATAAGATTTGCACCCTTAATACAACGATCCTACAACAAAAACGTCAGCATTAATGGACCACCCCGCCAGTTACTATGGTGTCAGATGCTTTTGCCTGTCATCCCTGCAGCGCGATCATTGAATGCATGGCTTCTGTTGGCTCGACCTCTTTGCATGAGGAAATTGACAGATGCCAGCCTGCCTTAAAAAATGGATTGCATCTTCAGGACATGAAAGCATACTTGAATGGGAACTCGCGCCAAGGAGTTATTTAGTCTGGAAATGGCCAGTTTTATCTTGAGGCTGTCGGTCAAGTTGAAGTTCGTTTCCCTCATACAGAAGATCAGTTATCCCATATTCCCTCATAAGGTAAGGACGTGATGCCGCAATCCTCAGCAATAGCAGTGGTGGGACCGTTGTCCTTCTCACCTGTTGAGTTCGTGAGCTCAATAGCAGGGGAAGTGCCGGGCTGCTTGATTATTTCGGGTCGATAGGGCGATTTATTTTTGAAAGTGGGGCAAGAGCAGGTTCTGTACCTAACCTGGGGCAATTAACCTATTATTTTAACTTGCATACCACTGACGGGTAGCAGCAGCGTTTTTGCAGATACACAGATATCGTCGTCGTCGGGTAAATCCTATTACCTAGGCATGACGAAATGTTCCTGTGGGGGGAAAAAAATCAATCCATGACAAACACTGCATGGTAGCAAAAAACTGTTGGCCACCAGCTCCATGTTCACATCTTACCTGTTTGCTCCCCCTATAATAGGTGCCTGGATACAATATTTGTTGAGAACAGCATCAGAAGAAATTAAAATATATATTCTTGCCCAAGATGATAATAATACATCATCTTTCGTTTCCTAGCTTCCGTAAAATTGGGGCTCGGCATACTGGCCTCTGTTCTATAAGATCGTCCATGCAATGCATTATTGGAGGGAGTAGAAGCGAATGGGCTTAAACTAGAATTTAAATTACTAGTATTGTCCCGCTTTTGGATATCAAATTGTTTCTCGGAATGCCACGACATCATATTTTGTGTCAACATGTGTTCTCTCGGTCTTGCTCAGCGAAGAAAGCATCGTAGACGTAGGTACGGCAATATCAGCCAGCGGCATTTCACGAAAAGTTTATTGTGCATGATATGTATGTTCATACTAGAGTATTTATCTTACCATGGAATCACAGCAGTCTCCACCAGGATGGGGCCTGCCGCGAGTGCTGACTGCAAAATATAGAACCAGGAATCCGTTGGAGAATGCTGAATTTTTCAATCTGCGTTTTGACAGCCCCGCACTACTTTAAACCTGAGCATATTGGGTGCTCTCCAAACACGCAATGTAGCAAATCATAGGCCTGATTAGCTCAATTTCCACACTCTAATACTTGTTTTGTGTCTTGGCATATTGTCCCGGTATCGGGGAGGTGTCACAGAGTATCCCCTCGTCTGGAAACCAGGCACAATTAGCGCGGTTTTTTAGCGTGTACGTTAGCGTATTAAAAACGCGAAAACTACTGGATTATATGAGAGATCGGCTGTATTAGAATGTTTTAATGTAATTTATGTAATCTATTCAATCTAGCCCTAATTAATATCTCCTGCCAACACCGGCTTTTCAGACAGAGAGGAATATTATTACATGCAGCACAATCATATCTTGATCTTGAAGCTCTATCTTTATTCTGCTCTGCTCTTTTTCCTTTATACTGACATCAGACACAAGCTTAAGATTCTGGCAAAGAAATTCAATGATGATTTAAATCTGAATTTGATTGAGTGAATGATAGAGAATTAGAGAACACAAAGAGTTGAAGATAAAGTTGTTGATGGAACTGAGTATGAGATAGAGTAATAAAGCTCAAAGCAATAGAGTTTGAAGCAGCAGAGCTCAGAGCAGTAATCAATTAATAAAGAATATAAACATTGACAATCATATAATTAATAATTCAGTATAGAATTGACAATCATGTGTGATTAATGAGTATATGAGTTTTATAGAAAGCTCTATACTGATTTGCTAGGTCAATCCCATTCATATTATGATTGTAATCATTAATAATGATAAAAATCTTTATAGTTTATTCATATTTATCATCAAAATATATTATATCTGTGAGCTGTTAATGGAATTGATCTCAGAACATTTCTGAATACATTCAATGAAGCTGTTTGATTTATGAATTGTAGACAGTAATAATATCATATTATTGTCTTTCCATGCAAGACAGAGAACTTCATTTTGAAAGATTATATACAAAATATTGAAAGGAATATGAGCTGACAATTCAAAGTTCTTCAATTCTTGTAAAAGAGGTGGTAAATTGACAGAATGAGTGATTTCATATGCTTCAATTCCTTTCTTTCAAAAATAGTTTAATAGAGCAACAGATGTGAAGTAATTGTTCATATAAATTGAATAATTAGTAATCTTTTTATTGTTATTCAACTTTAAATGCTGCTGCTCAGAACTTTGAACATTGAAGTTTTGTGAATTGAAACTTTGTGAATCAGAACTCTGCTGTTCAAAGCTCTGCTACTCATAGCTTTGTAAAAATACTGACAATTATTCAATCAATTTCATTATAAGAGATTCAGTTTTGATTAACTCTGAAATTCAGAACATTATACTTATATAAAGATTATTATAAAACATGAAAAAGATTCAAAAATAGTCATGTTTTTTTAATTCAAAAATTTTATATCTCTACTTGATTGATTTCTGAGGCATTTTGATTGTGTATTTTGATTAACTGAAAAACCGAATCATCATCTCATCAATGATAAAATTTGAATTATAAATGTAATATTTTTAATATATTGTATGAAAGTTTGAGTATAAAAACTTTAACTTCTAAAGGAAAGAAGATTTCAATTTGTAAAAATTGGATATATGAATATATCTCTTGATTTGTTTAAATCATTTTTATTTTATATGAAATTTTAATGGATGAACAGGCCTTTGAGTATCATTCTTATTTTAATAATTTTCAATTGTCAGAGATTTATACACTTTTATATAGATAATCTGCTCAAGAAATACTTTGATTTCTGTAGAAGTAATTAACTGTCAATTTTATAAATTGAAAGTTGAATTTTTTAATATCTGTATCTTTGTATAGATATTGATGAAGCTTGTAATATTTTGAATATCAGACTCTGAGATATAGAGAGAGAATAGAGTATATAAATTCTGCGGATCAATATTGAGCAGATTGACAGTTTATGTATGTATGTATGTATAGGTTTAACGTCCCGGAGAAAACACGGGCAGCGCCCGTATTTCAGAAGCCTCCCGAAGGGCATGGAGACGTGCTACGCTGGAGAGATTTCTATGTACACAGAGAGAGAAAACAGAATCCAGGTGGCAACTCTTGAGAAGACTCAGCTCATTGCAAAGGATTTTTCTGAGCTGCGCATCTACTTCTGTGTAATGCACTCGTTTATTATTTCCTTATTATTATATTATCTTTGTTTATATCTTCGTCTATTCTTACCTCTTTCCATTATACTCTCGCTACCACTATTTTTATATGTATATATATATGGATGCATGTATTTCGCACATCTTCTTTCTCTTTCTTTTCCTCTTCAGCGATTAGCTACAACTACAATTACAACTTCAACTATACTACTACTATAATTATTATTATCTTCCACTACACTATATACTATCTTCTACTATTCACTCTTCACACTGTCATCACCCCTCACATTCTGGCCCGACGGCAGTTGACAGACAATGAAGAGGCTTTATAAAATTGAAGATAATGCTTTTCAAAGATGAAATATCTGTAAAAAGTTCATTTACAGATTGTTTTCATTTCTCACTCTTTTTTATACTGTCTAATAAAATAATCAGTGAATATGATTAAAAGAAATCATAGAGAATTAAAAATCATCTTTAAATGTTATAATTTTTACAGAGATGAATAAGTAGAAAGGTGAATTCTTGCAGCAAAGACGGATTCTCACAGTTGAAAGATTGGAAGATTGAAAGAGATGCAGTAACACATTGAGAGAAAATGTGAGATAGTGAAGCTGTACTAGCAAATAGAATTGTATATAATTTAGTATGAGAAATTATTGATTGATAATTGTGCCGCGCGCACCTACATCTGATGTGGGTGCGCCACACTGTAACGATAAAAACAGTGTAACGATAAAAATATGAATAATATGAACTTCAAAAATCAATATCTCAACATTGTGTAGTTAATTTATGATAATTAATTTATCTATATCATTTATAGTAATAGTATTATTCATTAAATATTTATATATATCATTAACCTTTTGTTGAGTTGGTTCTATGGCATTTTTCTTCAAATCTTTTCCAACATACTTGACTTTCTTATAATGTTATTTTTCAGCTTTCTTCTTTTTATGTTGTGTGATCTTTCTATTTATATTTTTTACAATGAATATATCTTCTATTTGAATCTGCTGACATGTATTTTTGATACTACAGCATTTGATTGCAAGATAGTAATTTTCAATCTCACATTTTTTTATAACATTGAATTTCATTTGTATAAAACTACCTTGAAAAATCTTGTGCAATTGATTGTTCAGATGAGATGATTTGAAATTGAATATATTCTTCATATTTTACATTGTTTTTTTTATTATTTAAATATGATATTGTAGCTTCTCAATTGTCTTTGAAGAGGATAATTGCAAGAAGACAGTACTTGAGCAGTTTGATTAAAGTGAAAAAGAGTCATTTCTTTCATATATTCACAGCTCAAAGCAGTTAGATATCTTAGAATCTAACTTATCAAATATAGATTGCAAATTAAAAAAGATGATATCACAATTTACAAAATCAGTTTGAATAATGAAGAATTGAAAGGTCTTTTTACAGACATCAACTAAATTCTGTAAAAACTGATGTTTTTCATATTACTTATATTCATATCAAACAGTTTGATTAACTGCTTTTGAATGATAATATTTATACTACTGAAATGACACCTCATCTAGCAGTTATATTATTATTATTATTATTATTCTTCCGTTATACTCGTATGCAAGCAGTGCTTATGACGAGTCCTTGTGTAATGTTAAATACAAGTAAGAGTTGGTTATACAGGAGGAATGCTTAGTGTTGAATGACGCCAAGAATATAACAGAAACATAGGAAAATTAATGAAAGACAGGATTTGATACTCGCGATACAGGTTTCCAGCCCAGAAACAATAAGCTAAATCAGGTAGTAGGTCCGCCCGAAGGTACCTACTTGGCAAGTTCACATCTCTTTATTTTAAAAGCTGAGAAGTTGGCTCCGGATGTAATGTTGTCCCTTTGTGGGTTTCGAACGGTAGCGCCTTGGGTCCCCACGCCAAGGCGCTACCGGGTGGCCGCATTACCCATTCGGCCACCGGGGCATCTAGCAGTTGTAGTATATGAGTTGAATGTGAAGAAAATCTATATAAAATAATCTTGTGAAGATTGCAGTATTGCAGAAATTCTTCAGTGAAATGAGATTCATAATTATCAAAAAACAGGAATTGATGATTGTTTTATTGATATTTTTTAATAATTTTATTAAAATGCTGAATTGAAGCAAAGTTAATTTCATCATTGATATGATCAGTATCTGACATCGCAATTGTATATCTATTCAGTAGATTGTTTTGTGTATATCAATTTTCAAAATAAGTTTTGAATTTTATGATGATGAAGAAATTCAATATCTCATCATTTGCTGAAATACACTCAATCACAGTGATCAATTCTCAAGAATATGATGAAGTTATAACTGAATTCAAATTTTTAAAAACAGTAATAATTCATTCTTCACATTCTTGACTTTCTTGAAAGCCAATCTCATCAAAGTTGTAGATATCACAGATTTGAAATATGTACTTTTAAAGTAAAATTTTCAGATAATCAAATCATATTTTAATATAGTTAATATTTTTTATAACAATTCTTTTCAGATTCATTGCCTTCTGCTTCATTTTTTTATACTCATTCAAGTTTTTTATATATTGATAGATTCACATCTTGCTGATCATGAATGAGAAGGTTGAAGAATTAGTATGATGATGTTTAAAAATGAAATTCACATTATTTTGAATCTAGTTTATATTATTATTATTATTATTCTTCCATTATAGATGGATGCAGTCAATGACTATGACATCTACCTGAAATACTCTAGGATTTTTCAACTTAAGAATAAGCTAATATACAAAGTCAATTTAATACATGCAATAGCAGAATTCCAGCCCAGAATCAAACAACTATTCAAACTATTCAATTTAAGAAAGAATGTCAAAAGAATAACAATAGATCAATATATTCAATTTAAAACAAATGAAATAAAGAGTATAAAAAACAGCAGCTATTAAAAGAAAAGAAAGCATTCACAAATCAAACTTTTCAAAATAAGTCAAAATCAAAAGTAATCAAAATAAAATAAATTTCAAAGCAAAAGTAATAAAATAAAAATAAAAACAAAAACAAAAATTAAAGCAAATACATAGAAATAAAAGGAAAAGAGGAAAATAAAAATTGAATTCATTATCAGATCAAACTATTCAATTGAAATCTTGTAGCAATATTTGATTCTTTCAAATATTCAATCAAGAATTCATTTCCAGTTTTTGTATTGAATAAAAGTTTTAAATTTAACTGTGTCAATTCAAACTTCTCTCTCAATCTCAATCTTAACTCTGTATGCTTTGTACGAAGTAAAAGAAGATGCTCTGAGTTTTCATATAACTGACAATCTAAACATAAATCACTTAAATCATTTCTAATCTTTGTTAAATATGATTTAAAATAATCATGTCTAAGTTTTAAAATCTATTTTGTAATTGATGAGTAATTATTTCTGTTTATATAAGTTATTTATTTTTTCAATACATTTTTCTGACTCTTGCTAAGCTTCTTGTTCAGTGCAATCTTTGCATTGTATGTTTTTCTTTCATTGATTCTTATTTGAAAACATTGATAAGGAATGTTGAATTTGTGTGTCAAAGATAGGATTTTTTATTTTTGATTGTCATTATAGACTTCAATGACATTCTGAATATGTTTTTCAATATCATTCATCTTATTAATCATGGTGGTGATGATATATTAATATTTGAAGATTGATTAATGAAGAAGTTGATATTTTTATCGTTACACTGTTTTTATCATTACGGTGTGGCGCACCTACATCAGGTGTGGGTGCGCGCGGCACGATTACTTCTGCACTAATAGCTTAGTTATTACACTACTGGTATTGCGCTAATTGTGCCTGGTTTCCAGACGAGGGGATAGGCCAATAAAAATGTCGTATAAGCGCGCGTTTCAAATGATATCTCGTCTGCGGCGGCAATCTCGGGAGCCAATGAAAAAGTCGGAATCGCCTGAAACGGGTAATTGGGTTACATTCGCATTGAATCGTACATGAATTTGTACAAAGGCCTGATAGCTGACATTTATAGTTCTAAAACCAACTGAAACTACCCCATCTATCAGATCCTTCCATTGAAATATCGGTGAATTTTCAATGTACTATACTAGAGAAGTTCAATGAATAAATATCATGTCCATGAACTACGAGCTCTTATGTCTGGGATTGTTTCCGGTTCTTATCTCATACACAATTCTCATCTATGCAGTGTTGACTAGGAAGCATTTTCCAATATAGGATTTTTTGTAAATCATTATGATCTATTGTTTGTTGGAATGTTTGTTTTGAAATTAGGATAATGGTAGGAGGTCGCCCGGAAATTGAGTAAACCAGCTAATCAGATGTGAAAACTTTGAAAGGAAGAAATGATTTCAAGAAGTCATTTTTGCAAGCCAGAGGTGAATTTCCAAAATGAGCCGCCGTGGCCATTGAAGGGGAAGATAACGTATCTATGTTTTAAGACCAAGTTGTCAAGCAATGAGCTACATGATTTAGAAATTTTCATTTCCTAGTCTTTTTTTTTCATGAATAGATGTATATTTTCTACTAAGTCTATATATCGGTGTTTTCGGTGGAACTTCTCCAAGGATATGCATTCTGCTTCCAACCGCGCTATCAATGTTCCCTATCAGGCACAATAAAATAAGGCCCCAGCTCCAAAGGAACCGCTTGTGCATAGATCGGCCTGGCCATCGAGCTTCTACAGTTAGCGCGGTTGTAATATACGGACCCTTAAGGTTGGGATCTTCCCGCTTGATACCCAGATGTGCGCCGTGATAGGTGCCAAAGCGTTCATGCTATCAGCATCTAGCCCAAACCTCGCGGCCAGCTCGAACCCCCACTTTGCACAAGTTCGCAGATCATGGTAAGTGGATCGACAGCTAGGACAATTTGGTTCAAGTTAAGCATGAAGCACCCCAAATCCCGGTGTACATGTACACTCTACTCAGCCCAATCAGGGCCATATGTCCTTAGAATTGAAACGATCATCTCGGTGGTGCCCGTCCATTCGACGCGCGGGTGTCAGTGACTGCACCGCTTTCCTCTCCCGTTTTCTTTGTTGTTTCTAGCCATAAATTTGAGACGCATGCGGTACAACGGATAGGAAAGCCGAGCCAGTCAAGTATGAGTATGAGCGCGACAAATCCGGGGATTGATAAGACTAGGCGGGTGATACTGTGTATTTTCTGGAATATCAACCACAACTGCATTCCCTACAGTGGATGATCAAGGGTGCCGTCCCGGAGAAGCCACTGAGTAACATTAGATTATTTAGGGGTCCACCTTGCTTGGTACCCGCTGCAGGGTTCAATACTACAAGTCGATCTTCCTAAGATTTAACCTGGTGTGTGCAAGTCGAGTGCTTTAGGTGTGCTGACCTACCTCACTCGAATGTAAATGGAGCGTCTTGGGGAGGTAGGGTTAAACTTTTATGATACATCACAGTATTGTGTGACTAACTTAAAGAAATTTTGTAATGGGAAGCTGTTCCAACATTTTAAGTCAAACCTTCAATATTTGGCATGCAAAATTCGGAGAAATATGTACCGAAAGTAGACCCTCAGTGAGAGGGCAATAGGGGGTTCAGGCATGGTGCCAAAATTGACCATACTCTATTCATAGTTGTGATAAGCTATTTACTGACTGACTCCTGTTGAAAATCCCTTACTGTCCTTGATGCGGAGAAGATATGATAGAAGTAAGGATCTCAAGTGATCTTGTCCAATTGGAGATCTGGAACTAAAATTTTCTAACTGCACCCTCCTTCTGAGGGTTTGGTATAGAAGAAGGGCTCGCTACCCTCGATTGAAGGCATACAACACAGATATAAACCGGCATGCATGTTTCAAAAAGCACGCAAAGAGA